TCTCCCACCTACTTTCTCCCTCACTAGACTACTTTAAAGCAAAACCTAGACATTATACATTTTCATCTGTAAATAGTTCAGTACATACCTCTAAAAGAAAATATATTTTACATTTTATATATATCACACCTAAAAAATTAATCATTCCTTAATATTATGAAATATCCAGTTAGTGTTATAATTTCCCCAACTGTCTTAAAATTTTTTTTACAGTTCGTCTGTTCGAATCAGAATCCAAACAAGGTCCACATACTGCATCAGACTGATATATCCCCGCAGTCTCCTTTAATCTATAAGTTCCTCTTCTTTTTTTCCCTGGCAATTTACTTGTGAAAGAAATCAGGCTATTTGTCCTAGAGAGTTTCCCACAGGCTGAATTTTGCCAATTGCACTTTCGTGTGTCTTTTAACATGTTCCATTCTGTCAACCATGCTGCTCATAAGCTGGCAGCTGAATCTGCAGACTTGATCAGATTCAGTTCTTGGGGAAGAATACTTCACAGGTGGAAGTACACAATACCAGGAGGCAGATAATGCATGGTTGTCTCTCTTTTAGTTGTTATCACCCTGGTCTATCCATTATAAAGTTCCTCATCAGCTTTTTCCTGATGGTCTCACACTGCTGGTGATAACCATTGCCTAGATCCATATTTCCTCAGGGGATGCAAAATGGTGATATTTCTAAGTCAATCATTCCCTCTTTATTTATTAGTTGAAATGCTTCTCTAAAGAAATTCCCCTCATCAAGTAATTGGTTTCCTGAGTACCTTCAGAGAGAAAGGCTGGATTCTTTACCTTCATTCACCAGTTTTCAGAATAATGTGGTGGTCCCTAGCATCCTCAAAAAATAACCAACGAGTTATTTCTTTTAATACCAGTGTAGACTTGAGATATATTTAAGTACTCCAATCTATTGAAGATATTATCCTTTTCTGTGGGTCAAATTGTCCCATTTTGGCTCCTTCAAGTTACATCTTAAGTTCTTTCCACAGGACGCCAGAACATTTTTAAATAGCTCCCTTGCATTCTGAGAAGACAAGATGCTCTAAGCTCATCTTGTATGTTCCCTGCCTCAGAGCTAGAATCAGCCATTGCTCCAAGGAGCCCTGATGCCCTTTACTGGAGAATTATATTTAGAGGCCACAGGGGGAAAAGGGATACTTGCTGCTATTCGATTGATCATTGCAGCTAAATCTCTTCAGCAGCCAGAACTAGAAAACAAGTTCATATATTTACGAGTTCATACTGATATTCCAATTCAAATTTAGGATCTGGGTTTTTATTTAACTTGTTTGATTGTTATTATTGTACCTTTTTTCACTTTCACACAAAAAACTTGGTTCTTAAACAATTTAAAATGTGAATACCGGGCCGGCCTGTGGCTCACTCGGTAGAGTGCGGTGCTGATAACACCAAGGTCACGGGTTCGGATCCCATATAGGGATGGCTGGTTCGCTCACTGCCTGAGCGTGGTGCTGACAACACCAAGTCTCTAGAGAGCTAGAAATGGTGAGAAGAATTTTATGATAACTAATTGTGACTGTCTCCTAAATTTGAATATTTTCTAAGTCAAGGGTCATTGCAAACTCTCTTAAGTAGTGCCTTCTAACATGATTTTTACTGGAAGACATTCTGATTTGCTTTTTAAGGAATTCAGTCTTTCAAAAGTTTAAACAGACAATAATCTTTTTGAAATTCGATGTACTATCTACATCCAATGAAAAAGGCAGATTGATAAATAAAATTCATTACTTCACTGTCAGCATTCCTCAAAGTATAACTCAAGTACATGACAAAAGATTTTGCTAAAACAATATGACCATAAAAGTTGCAACAGCTGTAATACTTCCAAATTAGGAAAATCAGCAAAATAAGAAAAAATTAATTAAATTAAACATATTTATTGAGGTCTTACTTAGTAGAAAATGTAGTATTATATCCTTTGAGGGATATCAGAAAAGCTAAAATCAACACTACAATACAACGGAATTAACAATCTTATCATAACGAATGCATACAACAACAATTGTTATATATATATATTTTTTTGTCTTTTTTTGTCTTTTTCTGTGTCCAGCAACGGATCGCAACCCTCAGTGTTGCCCCCGTACCGGACCGGGGACCGGCAACGGGATTGCAACCCTCGGTGTTGCTCCCGCGCCTCACTCAGCCAGTGAGCGGGAACCGGTCTGTATGTGGGATCCGAACCCTCGAGCGGGAGCGCCGCCGCGCTTCCCAAGCGGCGCACTATCCAGTGCGCCACCGGGCCGGCCCCAGTATAGGTATATTTTTGACCCCAACAACATCGCAGTTCACTGCCAGTCAAGAATGAATTCAACCCCAACTTATACAACAAAGGCTCCTAAGATCTCTCTCTGTATCTCACAGGTGATATTAACACAGCTACTGTTCATTGTCCAAATTTTAGAGTAGAAGTATACAGATTATCTACTAAAAAATGAAAAAATAGAAAGTGCTTCCTAATGAAAATTCAATTATTAATCATTCACGGCACTCAGTGGTACAGATAAATAACAGGCACACTAGCTAACATGAAAATAACCCTGTCTGAACTCATGGTCCCTGTAGGTGACACAAACCATGGCGGGTTTCTGTAACTTCCTTATTTATCACTTTCACACCCTTGTGGAAAGAAGGAAGAAGTCCCTCAGTGTCAAACAGGATATATTAGAAATGGGAGTAAAGAGCAAGAAACATTTTTAAAGAAAATCAAGAAGAATCTCAATTTTTCGGAAGCTAGAATAAGGAAGATTGCCACAAAATGTATGTGTAATTTAATCAGGAGTTTTTTTCAATATTTAAAAATACAAGAAAACATTTCCAAGTTTCCCAAAAAGACACTTTTAAAACTCATAATTATTCTTTGAAACTTGAACCAATTATCTTGTTTATATGCTTATAAGTTTTAAATTTCCCTGACAACAACCAGGCATGCCAGGTCAATGCATCAGGGCCCGAGACATGGAGAAAGGGACCAAAGCTCCCTCCCACAACCAGGCACACCGTGCCAGTGTCTTGGGACCCACTCGGCGACCCAGGGCATGGAACTGGGGATCAGACACTCTCCACAACCAGGCACACTGCCAGCACCAGAGAGCAGGCCAAAAACATCTCCTCCATGTGGGTGGTCCACCATAGCTACCACGATAACCATGGCTGCCACGAAGGTGGCTAGATGCCACAACCACCATGCAGATGGTCCGCCAGCCACTGGAGTGAGTTGACACAAGGAGAGTCACCAGCAGAGATAAAGAAAGGAGGAGGAAGTCTGTCTCCACAGAGACCATTTCATAGTGATGGAAGAGACATCTGCTCTATGATAGTATTGGGGGACCCGATCACGCCTCTCAGCATTGGACAGATCGTTTGGGCGGCAAATCAACAGAGTAACCATTATTCCTTCAGAGGGAGAGAAGAAATCTAGGGTGATTAGAGGAGGGAGGGGGGAGAGAAAGGGGAATGAGGAGGGATTGGACAAGAGGTATGAAGAATAATTACAATTTGTAATAATATATATGCTAGTAATATTGATTTGATCAACATATCTCAATGTTGAAACCCAACAATATGTATAATCAATTTTGATTCAATAAAAATATAAATAAATAAATAAATAGATAAATAATAAATTTCCCTGACAACAACCAGGCATGCCAGGTCAATGCATCAGGGCCCGAGACATGGAGCAAGGGACCAAAGCTCCCTCCCACAACCAGGCACACCGTGCCAGTGTCTTGGGACCCACTCGGCTACCCAGGGCATGGAACTGGGGATCAGACACTCTCCACAACCAGGCACACCGTGCCAGTGTCTTGGGACCCACTCGGCTACCCAGGGCATGGAACTGGGGATCAGACACTCTCCA